ATAGTATTTTGAATTAAACATGGACATCAAACGTAGTCGGCAGCGTATAAAGTAAGTAAAAGTAATAAATTAAAAAACCCTCTCCCACAGAAATTAATAGCATTTTACTTGGTCCAAAGCCTCCTATAAGCTCTTACATGTATGTAAACCACGTCCCGTTCCGCTTATAAATACTCTCAATCTCCCCTCTTTTCTTCCCCACCACTACTCCTTGTGAGCTTTGAGATATACTTTCAAGAGAGCTAGCTTAGATTTAGCTTTATATATTTATATCTGTTTCTGTTTATGGAGGTTTTCATGCTATATATTCACAGTATGGGAGAATCTGTAAAGCTCAGGAGGGATAGCGCCATGATCCGTTAATGATGATTGATAGTTAATCATCACTGGCGCTATCTATCCTGAGTTTCATGGGTTCCTCTTACTATTTACAGTGCAGTTTCAACTTCAACCACAATATTTGGCTTCTGGGTATGTGTTTTATTGGCATATATGTATTATTTTTCGTTACATCTGCATATGACTCATCAAGGCCGGTCGAGGCTTTTTTATTTCATTTGATTATGTTCCTGTAACATATTTTTACAAATCATGCATATTTTTACAAATCATGCATGGCAAGGTAGTTAATCCGGGATTCTTCTTATTTCTCTTCGATGGATTTGTTTATTTGCACGAGTTTTGAGTTCCCGTTTCGGCATCTGGTTTGCGCTATAAAGTCCTCGAACTGTGTTTAACCTATTGCTTTAGGTTTCATCTCTGATCTCTTTATAAGATAAAACCGGGATCTCTGTGGAGCAAGGTCATCGGTAACCTATAATATTACTGGTGATATCTTCAAAGATAAACAATATGTGGTTCAGTATCTCCTATTTCATGTTTCCTTTCATTTTCTATTAATTAACAAATATGTCTCCCTCTAATTTTTTTTCTGACTCAACTATTGAATTCTCCAGATTCTTCTGGTTTTATGCATCTGGGTATAAAAAAAATCATAGATATATGCAAAGTGTGAATACCTATTTTCAGATTAAGCTAAAATTGCTTTTAAAAACGAGAAAACCAGAGAGCTTTCTTATTATTACGCTCTTGTAATGTGTACTTATTATGCTCTTGTTATGTGTTTCACTGTTGCGAGACAATTATATATTGCATGATAACCTATGGTTCATTAGTTTCTCTTTGTAGATCATCATATTGCCTTAAGATTTTAATTTGTTTATTAGGAAAAGAAAAGAAAAATTTATAATTTTTTGTACTCTTACCTCTCAGTGGGTCGCTAATTTTCCCCTTTTCTGCCCAACTTTAATTACTACATCTGGAGGGGTTCTATATTTATTACTCTGATTATTAGCTTGGTTTTTAATTGCAAGTCTGAGACTCTGAAACCCTAGCCTTATTCTGGGATCAATTTATTGAGCTTAGCTAGGGTTTCACATTTTGACTTAAATTTAGTTGCAGGCTTTTTAATAATGGACTAAATAGTTGTGTGGAAGAAGTTGACACTTTCCCAAATTAAACTTCGTTCAGCTCACGGTCTCGTCGCTTTCTTTTAATAGTTACTTGATATTACTATTAAATTTCAATTCAATCTACTTGTTCTTCTTGATCATGATCATTATCTATATATAATATTAAAAGCAAAATTTCATGCAATTGATCCATTAATTTAAAATTCAGATGGAGTATGATGCTTAAGTTGACTAGTAATTCGAATTCTTTTATGTAATGTGGTTATCCGTTCTCTGTAGATATGCAATATATATATGATTTGGTTGGCCATTATAAGCCGAAGATACGGTTGAGATGTATAATTTTATAGCCTTAATGCTTGATATTAAGAAATTTGATCTAACTTTAGGGTACAAGATATGTCTTACTGTATGGGGACAAAGAAACCAATTACTTAATATCCAGACCTTATGGTTTTATTCTATATTTTATATAATAAAAACTTTCATCTTTTTGAACCATAGTGGACATTGTGAGTGTGCGTAAACAGAAACCTCCACGTTTCTCTACAGTATGGGGGAAAGGAATTCGATTCACTAAACACTTCATGATCAGCATGTGATCTTGTGTTTTGTTTTTGTTTTTTTTTTTTTTTTTTTTCTTTTAATAACTTTTAGAATCAATTCTATATTAAGTTTGTACCTATTTCTTATTAAAAGAGGAGAAAGGTCGAAACGGGTGAGTTGAATTGAATTTGATGTATATATACAGTGTTGATGGCGGCCTCGGCCTGGCTAAACTACGTGGGTGGTTGGAATTACAAGATTTGGTGGGTGAATTGTAATTGGTTCATGTATAAAAATAGCAGCTAATAGTGATATCCGAGTTTTACAATAGATTATCGTTTTATTTAGAAGATGACTCCGAATCTGGGTATATTATTGATTAAGATATTGGCACAAGTACAACAACGGAGATGCCAACATGAATTTAATTTTATCAGCTTATTGTTTCACGTCTTTGATCTACATTCTTGTCATATATATACTAGGAGTAGGACGTTCACATCTGAGTAAATTAATTAATTAATCAAATCTTGTTTCGTTCTTATCTTTAAAAGCTAACCGAACCTCAGCTGGGAAACCTGAGATTCTAATCCGTTTGTCCAAAACGCCTCGATACAAAGAAATTTTGTTTTGTTTTGTTTAACTCTTTCCGCAAAAGAGAAAGGTAATTGATCAGGTGGTAATAAGCTTTAAAATGAAAAACTCTTGGTGAAGCTAAACAGTATAACAAAGGACAAGAATGAATGAAGATAGACAAATAGATATTATTAGAGTGAGAAAAATATATAATAAAATGGACGAAGGTGGGGCAACAGAAGCTGGCAGGATATAAATCCCGACCATTTTACAAGGTGGCATGTGGTTGAATTGTGAGTGGGAACAGGAATTGAATTTCCCATTTATGTCACATTAAATTATATAGTCAGAAAAACATATACATATATATGTACGTATATATATATGGTGATGAATGAGATACAACAACAAATCCATGACTAGTCGAGTCAGGAGAATATATGCCATGCCACCGATCCCACCCTTATAATAAAACCTTATACAGAATAAATTTGATATGGACATGGAACCTTTTCTTCAGAACAACCATAATAATATTTTTGACCTTTTCAAGATATATATGTAGATTTGACTTCTTTCTTAATAATCTTGTCGTTCGTGGCATAGGCATTGGTATATCTTCCATCTTCTTCTTTCTTCTTCTATCTTCTGTGCAACCACAAAACCTACCATTTTAATTCAAGCTTTAATTAGTAGTAGGCCTCCATTCTCCATGATGTTCTCTTATTAATTACCTACCACACTCATCATATTCTTACTTCTTACAGTACAGCTACCACTCCACGATGTTCTCACTTTCAAAATCTAAACATGAAGATTCATAACATCAATATTAAAATTTATCATGCCTTATCACCTTTAAATTATTGATAAATTGAAATGAAATGATTTAATTAAGAGATTGAAATTAATTCCTGGTCCAATAGAAAGAACACAAAATAATAATGTATACGCGTAAGTTAGTCCGAACATTTAGGTCATAAAATAATAATAATAATAACGTGGTCCACGTGTCACGTGTATCAATTTCTTCTATAACAAGTGGTGCTGCAACATATTAAATCCTNGATGAATGAGATACAACAACAAATCCATGACTAGTCGAGTCAGGAGAATATATGCCATGCCACCGATCCCACCCTTATAATAAAACCTCATACAGAATAAATTTGATATGGACATGGAACCTTTTCTTCAGAACAACCATAATAATTTTTTTGACCTTTTCAAGATATATATGTAGATTTGACTTCTGTCTTAATAATCTTGTCGTTCGTGGCATAGGCGTTGGTATATCTTCCATCTTCTTCTTTTTCTTCTTCTTTCTTCTTCTATCTTCTGTGCAACCACAAAACCTACCATTTTAATTCAAGCTTTAATTAGTAGTAGGCCTCCATTCTCCATGATGTTCTCTTATTAATTACCTACCACACTCATCATATTCTTACTTCTTACAGTACAGCTACCACTCCACGATGTTCTCACTTTCAAAATCTAAACATGAAGATTCATAACATCAATATTAAAATTTATCATGCCTTATCACCTTTAAATTATTGATAAATTGAAATGAAATGATTTAATTAAGAGATTAAAATTAATTCCTGGTCCAATAGAAAGAACACAAAATAATAATATGTACGCGTAAGTTAGTCCGAACACCCGGGTCATAAAATAATAATAATAATAATGTGGTCCACGTGTCAGGTGTATCAATTTCTTCTATAACAAGTGGTGCTGCAACATATTAAATCCTCTTCACAGGCAGGAGCAAAACAGGCGCCTTGTTTTTAGCTGATGAAAACCCTCATGGTGTTGATGGTGATCCATGTGGTTTGGTTTCTCATAATAATTAGTTTCTTAGAAATTTTTTATCACCATTTTCTCTGAAAAGTATATCTATTAAATGACTTAAATTTTTTGGGTCCTTTGGATGATCATTCAAACTCATGCTACCATATCATGCATGCACATGTGGAGAAAAATTACATCATATGAATTATCGCTACAAGAGTTTTCAAAGTCAGCTTCGCAAGAGAGTTCAAAGTTTCTTGAACGCGATCTCAATTAGATTGGTTTCATAACTAATGCATACAGGGTTAACAAAGGGTGGATTATTGGATACATATTTAAAATTAAAAGACAATTAGAGTACTTGCTGCTGCTGTTCATATAGGTCCTTTATAGAAGTTAAATCACCGTATTATACACGATTTGAAGGGATCAGAAAAGCTATTATTCTTGTTAAATTTATGTTATTATTAGTACTTAACACCAGTTCTCTGATGGAGAATATGGCAGGTTTTGATTTGAGACTGGAGATTAACAAACAAATCGTAAATGATTAATTGATAAATTTTGTATGTGTTTTTTGGTGGATGATTGTGTTGGTACGTAAGTGAAGCAATGGTGGATGTTAGGGCAGACGACTTGTCCAAGCCCTTCAACGATGGAGTGATCTATCGGTTTCCGCTGACTTGTAAGAAAATTCACAGAGCACACACAGTGGGAATTTTTTATGGAGAAAGTCCATTGCAATACTCCTTCACACTGATAATGTTGGAGGTCATTTTCGTTGTTTTTACCACTTGGATCCTTCGCTTTCTTCTCAAGCCTCTTAAACAGCCCAGGATTATCTCTGAAATAATCGTAAGTTTCAATATCCTTCATGCCCTTTTTAATAAACAAGTTCAAATAAAGAAACATCGATTTGACATCAAACAATAACCATGATGCTGTCACATTGACAATGTCCTTTTTTGATTTCATATATAGACTAATTAATGAGAATCAATTATCAGATTTTGTCTTCTCCTATTCATGTTTGTGCTCTTTAATTAACTCTTGCTGCATGCACTGATTCATATTCATGATGTGCAAAGATTTCTCTAGCTCCTTTATAATTAATGTCTTTTTGAGATGGAATAGTTATTGCTTTATTCCCACTAATTAATCTATTTTGTGTTTCTTTTGCTGAAATAAATGATTTAAATTAGGGTGGTGTAATCATTGGACCCTCTGTTCTGGGCCGCAACAAGAACTTCAGCGAGAAGATTTTCCCGGAAGATGCCCAGTACGTATTGAGAAATATTGCAATAATGGGCTTTATGTATTTCCTCTTCTTGGCCGGAGTGAGAATGGATTTGACCTTGATAAAAAGATCAGGAAAAAGAGAAGTTTACATATCATTGTTTGGATTTATCGTTCCCACAATGACAATGACAATTGTAGCATTCCTTACAAGGAAATGGATGGATCCAGACTTAGCCAAAACAAGTTCAATCATTGCAATTTCCTCAGCTATTGCTGTAACTTCATTTCCTGTGCTGTATCCTGTGCTTAAAGATCTAAACCTACTTTGCTCCGAGGTGGGACGAATAGCAATGTCATTGTCTGTTGTGAGCGCTGTGATAGGGCTTAATGGTATTGTTGCATTTGAGGCAGTAAAACAAGGGGAAGGAGAAGGTCTGGATGCACTGTGGTTTCTTCTTTCATTGATAATCCTATTGACTTTCATTTTTACTGTGATTCAACGAGTAATGACCTGGATTGTGGATAGAACCCCAGAAGGGAAACCAGTGAATCAGGGTCTTGTAGTTGGGATTTTGTTGGGGGTTATGATTATGGGATTTCTAACTGATATGTTTGGTATGGCCATTGCAAATGGGTCATTATGGCTGGGACTAGTTATCCCAGATGGTCCTCCTCTGGGAGCAACTCTTATTGAGAGAACTGAGACCATTGTCCTCGAGTTTCTTATGCCATTTTCATTTGCACTTGTTGGGCTATATACTAATGTGTATGTCATGGCTGATATGGGATGGACAAGTTTAGTACCACTTCTCGCCATGGCTTTGACAGGGTATGTGGCCAAAATTGTTGGAACTCTGCTTACTTGTCTCTACTTTGAAATGCCTTTCAGAGATGGTCTCACACTCAGCCTCATGGTCAGCTTGAGAGGTCAGGTCGAACTTCTATTATTCATCCATTGGTTAGACAAAAAGGTATAATATATGATAACCTGATATCTCTGTCTTATCTAAAATGTTGCGGTATTATTTACTAATGTCATTGCTGGTTGTTTTGATGTTGTTAAATACAGCTGATACAAATACCTCATTTCACATTGTTGGTGTTCACCACAATTGCAATAACTGCAGTAGCGACACCTTTGATCAACTTCCTGTACGATCCATCAAGGCCATATATGGTAAACCAGAGGAGAACCATTCAGCATCACCCTCCCAACACCGAGCTTCGTTTAGTTGTTTGCGTTTATGAACAAGACACTGTTGCAGGCCTCATAAACTTGCTGGAAGTCTCCTATCCAACTCTAAGTAGTCCATTCTCTGTCTATGCTCTCCACCTCGTCGACCTGATGGGCCGTGCAGTTCCTGTCTTTTTAGATTACGAAAACGAGCATGATCCTGCAAAATATACACACCAGGATACCATCCTCGATGCCTTAAAGCTTTACCAAGAATCAAGATCCACAGCAGAAATCAAGTTCCATACATTCACAACCATGGCCCCAATGCGATCAATGTACCAAGATATTTGCGAGCTGGCCATGGAAAACAAAGCTAGCATCATTATCTTACCTTTTCACAATGATTGTCCAGGAAATGTAGGAGGAACTGAAGTTATTCATAATCGCGAAGTCCATTCTGTGAACTTAGAGGTGCTAGACCACGCACCTTGCTCGGTTGGAATTCTTGTAGACAAGAATAAAAGTTTTAGAAACCCTTTTGCAGGATGCTCCATGAGAAGGCCACATTCATATTCAATCCACCATTATGTAATACTATTTCTAGGGGGGGCAGATGCCCGGGAAGCTCTTGCATTTGCAGATAGAATGGCTGGGAACCCTGAGGTGACTCTCACTGTAATAAGGTTCTTGTCACACTACCATGAAGATGATGAGATGGAAAAGAAGCTTGATGATGGAGTGGTTACATGGTTTTGGGTTAAAAATGAAGGAAATACAAGAGTAATTTACAGAGAAGTCGTTGTGAGTAATGGAGCAGAAACAGTGGCAACAGTTCAAACATTAAACGATGACACATATTATGATCTATGGATTGTTGGAAGAAAACAAGGGATAAATCCAGTGCTGTTGGAGGGATTAGAGAATTGGAGTGAAAATCATGAACTTGGAGTAATAGGAGACTACATTGCATCCAGTGATTTTGGAGGCACAGCTTCTGTGTTGGTGGTTCATCAGCAGATTTTGAGAGACCATGGAACAACTACAACAGCAACGTCAAAAAAATTTGTTTGTACAAGTGTACTTTCACAATTTTAAGTTAAGTTATGCTTGAAGTCCTATAATTATTCATCAATGTACATATTAATTAACTATTTTTTTTTTTTTTTTTTGCAATTAGACAGTTGATCAGGTAATTAGTATATTCTTTTTAAATAATTAATATTGTGCATTGGTTTTTTCCAAATTAATCAAAGATGTGTAAGTCAAAATTCTTCTATTTTACCCATCCATGGGTAGCCCAATGGTTAGGGCGAACCAAGGGGGTTGCAAATGGTCTAATTCATAATCTCAAGTTTGATTCTGAATCCCGTTGGGTGTAAAAGTAGTATCTTTGCCCATGATTTACTTAAGTGTCATAGCGATGGGTTATTGTGGGATAGTTTCCCTTGAAGATTAGTCGAGATGCTACCTGGGAACCATGATGGTGGTCTTCGCCCATAATTTACTCGGGGCCATGACAGTGGGTTGCTATGGGATAGCTCCTATTCAGGATTAATCGATGTGCTATCTGAGGGTTATGACGATGGGTTGCTGTGGGATAGCTCATCTTGAAGATTAATTAAGGTGTGCGTAAGCAGGTCAGACATCTTGGTTATTAAAAAAAAAAAAAAAATTCTTCTATTTTATGCAAAATATCAATCTCAAAAAGGGAATTTTTTTGGTATATAAATGTAATTATATTAAATTTATTTAGATTAATTATACAAATATTAAATTGATTAGATTAAGAAAAGTTTGTTTTGGGCCTGGGCCATTAACTTCATCAGGCCCATACAGATAGCACCGGAAACCCTCTTCGTCTTGTTGAGCTCAGACTCTGTAACTGTGCGTTTAGTTGTGCGCCAGCGTCGTCGGCTCTTTCTCCGATCAGTCTCTTTTAAATTGTTTTGAAAATTAGGGTTTGTAGTAATGGAAGATGAACGTCGAATGTCAATGCGAACTCGTAAGGTTGCTCCTAAAATGGCTGCGGCACTTGGCAGCGCCGACAATCGAACTCAGGTTTTTTATTTTATTTTATCATCTTTTTCATATTTTCGAGTCTGGGTTTTGACTAAGTTAAAGAAATTTTAATGGGTATTTTACTTATTTATTTTTATTAGGCAGCTCTTGCTCGCCTAGAAGCTCTGGAAAATGATAATGCCGGAATTGAACATGTTGAAATTAATGATGATGATGATGAAGCTTCTCTTGATGATGATGATGAAGGTCTTCTAACTTCTATTATTATTTTTCTTAAATTAGAAATATATGCAATTCTCTTGTTTTGAGTAATCTTGATTTTGCGTTGCAGGTTATGTACAAAAGAGGCAATCCAAGGGTACTAAACGCAAAACCCGGCAAGCTAAAGCACTTGAGGATGCTAGGAAGGCCCCAAGGACTTTCCTTGAGCTCTTACATGAGGTTTTAACTAACAAACGACTCTGTTTTGTGGCTTTACTTCTTAATTAAATCAATAAATTACAGGTCTTAATTTTGGTTGCCTTAGCAGGCAAACCTTGAATCCTTGCCTCCACATATTCCATCCTATTTGAGGGCAGCTGTGGGACCTCCAAGTTCTACGTCTCGTCGCCATTTCTGCACGGTTTGTGGATTTACTGCCAGCTATACTTGTGTCAAGTGTGGAATGCGCTTTTGTTCCATCCGTTGCCAGACTATACATGATGATACTCGATGTCTCAAATTTGTCGCCTGAGTAGTTAGAAACCTGAGCTGGATAGAATTTGTAAACAATAGATCAAACTTGAAGGTTACTCTTGTAGTATGTAGCATGAATATCGTCAAATTGCTTTTCAATGTGTAACAGCTTCTTTATTAGAAAGCAAAGTTTTGCACCAGTTGTTTGCCTATACTTTTAATAGTAAAGCAGTTAGTTTTAGAAGAAAACATGATTGCTGTTGTTAATTACTCGTGTCCTGTTTTACAGGAATTTGCATATCCTTAATCATTCCTATTCGTTGTGCTTTCTTCCAGGTTGTTGGCACTTGTCTTAATAAAGATTCATCAAGGTGTTTTATTAGCCATTGAAAAACCTTATCTTACTCTGATGGTTATGGTCATTATCTGTCCAGAGGAGCTAAATTATCTTCACACTTGTCATAAGAAGTTGAATATATGCCAGATGGTGATCACAATTCCTTGCAATCTGCACCACCTTCCCACAGGTAGGCTAGACGCAAGTTCTGTTTTTATTTTTATTTTTATCATAAATTATCAAGGAATAGATATGAATAATTATAAAATTATGAAATTTCTTTCTTTGATCTAAATACAATACACTCAGTAAAGAAACACAGCAAAACAATTGCTTGACAGAACAACATTCAATCTGACTGACTTATGGGAGAGGACTACAATAGCATGATTCCAGACTCAGGCAAACAAGTACTAGTACATCTAATGGGATTAGATAACAATAAATCATGTAATCAGGAAGCTATATTTAATCAGGGGATGCTATCAACCGATGCTTTGTTGATAAACTTAACATCGCGGCAGATCCAGTGGTGGAGGCTGTACAGACTGCAATTTCCCAACTCCATTCTCGACTAAGAAAGCCATTGCTAGACCCCAAGTTAAATGAGAATCTATGTGGCAATGCATCAGCCAAATACCTGTTTTTCCAGGTGAGTTAGAGAAAAACTTAAAATATAGTCAAAACATTACTGGGAAAAGAAAATAAATGTGCCTGTGTGTCTGCTCTTGAATATGGTGATTTACCTGGATTATCAGCTACAAATCGGATGGCAACCCATCCACCTGGAGGTGTTCCAATGGTATTTCTCTTTGGTGGGTCAACAAGGTTGAAGTTTGCTGGATCTCTATTTGGGTTGAAGTTACCAAAACCCGCTCCGATGACATAGAATTCATATCCATGAAGATGCATGGGGTGGTCCTCAACTGTGACAATGCTGGTGTCTTGCAAGACAATCTGTACCCTGGAACCATACTTCAGCTTAAAGAGCTTAGTTCCTTTGGCTGGCTGCCACAGACCACGGCTCACATTGCCTGTATAATCAAATTGTATCGGAGGAACTGGTGGAAAATCTGTGGTGAAAACACCGGGTTGGCCTTGGTAGTAAGCTTGCATCAGGGAGTTGACTGTTGGTAATACAAAAGAGACATTGTTTATGCTGGCGGTAAAACGGGTTCCATTAGGGCCTTGGCAACGAGGGCTGTTAGGATTTGTGCAGTTGATGAGTCCTAATCCCACTGTGAAAAATAGGTTCTCATCAATCAAATGTGGGACTTCAACAGCACATGGACTTTTGACCTGCGCACTGAATGCAGTTGCAGTGGCTGTGTCATTAAAACCTGGGAGTTGTGGGAAAATTGGAGTAGAAGATTTTCCTTTCTTGGAGCTGTGGGAAGCGGTTTTGTATTCAAGGATTGCAGTGGTAGTGGTATTGTCAAAGGCTGCATTGGTGGCACTGTTGTATGCATGTGCTGCCATGTAGTAGCGACCTGGAGGCTGATCCGCTTTGAGGAGAACATTTGTTGTCTGACCAGGCGCTATCATAATGACTGAGGTTGTGAAAGGTTTGGTGTAGGAAGAATCAACGCCAACAACAGTCAATTTGTGGTTTGCCACACCAAAGAAAAGTTCTTGATTCATAGCTGAGTTGATAATTCTCAGGAGAATTGTCTCACCCGAATCCACTGGAAATCTCACAGTTTCTGCATCGCAATTTATATTTTATGTCATTACTTTGTGATGCTGGAGAGTTTAAATTCACCACACAAGAGGAAGCTTCCAGTTTTCCATCAGGCTATAGCAGGGCAGAAGAATAACAAGAGAGTTGTAACAGCAAACCTTGGCTGGAGCATCTGTACAGATCACCTGGCTGACCATTAATGGTATATGCATCGGAAACATTTGGAGCTGCACCTGTGAAAGTTGCCAACCTCAGGACATCCATGGGGTTTCTGTCCCACCATTCCCCTGTTTGCCATTGCCATCATCGGTTAGTCATTCATGATCTTATAATATCGGGCACAAATTATTTCTCAACTTCGAGGGGGAATAAAAATGAGGTACCAAGAAGAATAGGAATCTCTTTCTTTGGCATTGGGAAGGGGTATGGAATACCCAATCTCGGATAAATAATGAGAGCTCCATAGACAGTGGCTCTGAGCCATCTGCTATGAGCATGCCACCACAAAGTCCCTGCTTGGTTTGTGATCGTAAACCGGTATGTGTAAGTCTGCCCTGGTCGGATTGGGCACTGGGTCACATATTCAGGGCCATCTGCCCATGGATTTCGCAGCTGATGTATTCCATGCCTGATAAAATATAAGACAATATTTATATCAAAGCTACTAGTGCTTCAAGTCCAAGTAGTGTTGGGTCAAGATGGTTTGCTTATTGAGTTCGTCTAAATATAAATGTACATGCGTATTAAAGTACATACCAGTGGAGGGTGGCATTGTATTGAACTCTATTTATAGCCTTGATCACAAGACTGTCACCTTCTCGAACTTCCAGGGTTGGCCCTGGAAACATCCCATTCACAGTAACTGTGTTATGGGTTCTGCACAGCCTCTTCACTGGCCTGGCTTCAATCTATAACAAAAGAGAGAAAAATATTACTACAGTTTCTTCCCCATAAAAGGACAATATGATATTTATATAGGATGAATAAAAACTTACAACAAACTCATGATAGTGAGTTTCTGCACTAGAAAGAGAAGTTAGGAAGCCAAAGATGACAAGAAAGAGAAGTAATGGGCAAGAGCACAAGGGCTTGACTTTAAGGTTAAGAAACTCCATAGCTGTTTCAGTTCAAGGAGTTTGAATGTCTTGAGTGTGAATTAAGATCATAGATAGGCAGTTATTTATACTAAGATAAAGTGGAAAAGGACATGCATAAACTGGTTTTTTTAATCTTCAAAATATGAAATGGAAGAATTAATATTAGGTTTTTAAGTCAGCCAATGATGCTTAGATTCTAGGACAGTTTAAACCATAAAGAGGATTTGTTACACCCACCAGGGCACTGGCTCCATCAATTTGTTATTAATCGATGAAGACTCATACACATTTTAATCTTGTTGCTGGGCATTTACTATTCATTTTTTAGAACTTTCAAGTTTTGTTAAAGAGTTTCTTGCCTCAGAATCATCCCATCCTATGTGTTTTGTACAGTTCTTTGAGGATCCTGATGTTAAATTATATTAACAACATATTGTGCTTAAAAGTTGAACTCATGGACTCTTTTATGAAGTAGAAATCTGTAGTGTATATAATAATGATAAAAATACAAAATTAGGTCACGGGAGAGTTGGGTGAAAGACCAATTTAGGAAGGCAATGTGGCTACAGCACAGTGAATGAAACGTTTCTGCAACTGTGCTATTGCTTATTTGATGAACTGTAAACAGTATAAAAAGGTGAGATCAGTTGTTAGCTCAACAATTTTATTCAGCTGATGATTTAAATATTTTATTCAGTGTGGACTAATGGTGGAGGTTTGATAAACAAAAATGTTTGTTTCTGGATATATCTGATAAAACTATCGGTATCATAGGACAGTGGGTTGAGATTGAAAAATTAGTTCGGATTTGGTAAAAGGAATCAGAAAAAGAAGAGGAGGTGTATGTATATATGATGTATATGTTTTGGTTTGGCTTTGTTGTAATTCTTATTAACAAATAAAATACTAACCGTAGTCCGTGGGATTGACAATGTCAAATTCATACAAAAAGTCAAAAATTAGATTTGGTCATCCACTCCATTGTTTACTAATTAAAGGAGCTTGACTGCCAGTTTAAAATTTATTTATTATTGTATAAGAAATGAAGCAGGGAAATTTCATATCTTGCTTTTCAACCAAGCAAAAGATATATGATTGACTGNTGAGATTGAAAAATTAGTTCGGATTTGGTAAAAGGAATCAAAAGAAGAAGAGGAAGTGTATGTATATATGATGTATATGTTTTGGTTTGGCTTTGTTGTAATTCTTGTTAACCGTAGTCCATGGGATTGACAATGTCAAATTCATACAAAAAGTCAAAAATTAGATTTGGTCATCCACTCCATTGTTTACTAATTAAAGGAGCTTGACTGCCAGTTTAAAATTTATTTATTATTGTATAAGAAATGAAGCAGGGAAATTTCATATCTTGCTTTTCAACCAAGCAAAAGATATATGATTGACTGAGAAAGCACCCTACCCAGATTCATATTTCGGATGAAGGGGTCAAAGAAAGTAGTAGGATTAGCAATACGTTGAGGTTGAGCATGTATATAATATAATTACAAAAATTAGTAATATAATAAGGTTTGGCTTCTAGATGAGATGTGTTAGTAATTGTCAAAATGATAAATAAATGAAGAAGCATCAATCAAGGGAGTAACCAGTCTGATTAGGTGATTAATGTTGAACTTGAAATGCAGGTTTAAGTTTGAAAAATGCAGTTTGAGTAGCTTGCCTGCCTATTGACCATGGAAGCTTTTGTGTTATGTTACCCACCACGTATGCATATTTCTGTTATCATTGTTGGTTGGTATTCATCAGCAATTGCTGTCACTGTGAACCTAATCTGTTTTCGATTCAACATGCATCCACCAAAAAATATACAAAGGGGTTTCAACAATTTACAGCAGAAGCCAAACAATTAGATGATACATTACCAATAAACATTAAGAATCGAGAACATACCCTACAAAATAATTTAATGCTTTATTTAGTCTACACCCTCTATAGGGGAAAAACCTTGAAGAAGACATCAAAACTGCTTTTAAAACCAGTGCTTACACATCTCGCTGAAAATGGACCCTAAAAACCAAACCTAATATAATATATCCAAACTCTTCCCAGGCTCGCTGCTGCTGAAGATTTTGGACCAAAGTAAGCCTCTAAAGCTTCAATCAAAGAGCCCAAAAAGGAGCTCCAAACATTAAAATAAATAAATAAATTAATAAAAACTTCAGTGTCACTGTCACCACCAAAATCTCTCTTCAAACTTGTGCCATCTGCTGTTGCATTGCTTGCAATGACTTTATTTTCGATTGACAAATTCGAAGAAATTCGGACAGTACAGCACGCTGCCCAGATACTAGTTTCCTCGCAACATCAACAGGACTCCAAGATTTCAGAGCTTGGGAAGTACGATCACCAAGTTCTGTCTCATTAATGGATGAGATATATGTTCCGAGAGCCTGGAAAACCTGCCCAGGACCTTCATCCTGTCCATTTCTCTGAAGGGAGGAGAATATGATATCTAAGTTTTCATCCTCCGACTTCTTGACGTGATGCCCTAACCATTTTGCAACATCTTCCAGTATGCCATGTGTGGATCGTATTGAGTCCCGAATTGCATGACAAACTGGAGAGAGAGATTGATCCGCAGTCCCACTTTTCTTCTTCTTCTTTCCAGATGGAACAGAAGATCTGACACAGGACTGGATTACAAGAGTGTGCCAAGCCAATGGTTCTGTGACCATTTTCACCAAAATAGGAAGATCACTGGGTGGAGAGCATATGAGAGATTCCATGTACCTAACCTTCTCAAGAATGCAATTCTCCAGCAGAGAATTCACAATATTCCAAGACAAAGGCCCACATCCATTCACATCAGGCCGCTCAACTTCATGAGAATTCAAGTTCCATGCATTCAAAAAAACAGCAAAATTCAACCAGTCCACCATGTTCGCACCAAAAGCCTGCAACAGAGGTCACAAAATTACTTTTAATGGACAGTGATTCAGCAAGTTTATCCTTAAAGCAGTGCACACAACTAGCAAGCAACCAAACCTATCCAATAAATATTACCTTTCTGCACCTCCATGGAGAAAAGTAGGCAGAACTTAGAATGTCAAATTTGAACAAAACCTAGTACTATATAACCAAAAACATTCCAGTATTTTACTTCTTAAAATTTACAATATAAAATTGTTATTTTGTGAAACATATAAAAGTGTTTTACAGACTCAAGGTTTCAGAAGAGTTTGACTTGCAAAATTCAAAATAGCACTGTACTCACACTTGTTTGAGTACCAATCTCTAAGGTTTTTGTGTGTAAACAGGCCATTGTAAACAGTGCTAAAAAGCCTAATCATGAAGCCTAAGTGCAGAACAAAATTGGAGTCTTGCAATGGAAGTCAATAAAATGTATAAAACCAAAAAAGAAAGAGGAAAAACATATGCTTGTAGTCAGATGACCAGCAAATTCTTACTCCGGAAGACTTGAGGCCATTAGAAACTCCCACAACCACTTCTATTGCATCACTTAAAGAAAATCCCAACATCTTTGCATAGCACTCAAGCAAGTCCTTCAGCTCTGGGGAAACTTTTGGGTCAGATAAAGAGCCATTAGCTTCAAAGTTACCCTTAATGGATGCCGAAGCACTCTGAATAGATAGATATATCATCCGAGGGAGAAGGGATTTCTTCTCAATTACTCTTCTTACATTTGTTTCCCTTTCTTCCATCTAGATTTGATCAACACGTAACAGGAAAGTCAGAGTTACAGAAAAAAGGGAAGCATTTTATGTACATACAAAATCAAGTAGGCAAAGGTTATTACCAAGTTCTCCTTAGGACAATAAGAGATTCCTTCAAACGGACCTGGAAAAGACAATTGTCAAAACATTTAAGATATATATAAGACAAAAGAAAACCATCCATATTCCCACAAAATTATTGGACAACATAATATTAAGTTCTTCAAACTTGAACAAAATCTGAACTCTTAATAAAAAGTGCGAACTTCAAAAAGGGAACACTGTCTTTCTCCTTGTGTATAATTTTTTTTTTTCTGGCATTAGACAAGATAAATTATACGGTTAGCAGTATCTCATACTTTTCCAAAAGATCTTTCCTTTTAATGGGTTTTATTGGTCTCGCAGAATTTTGTAGTCCCAAATTTTACCATGCCAGCGAATTGCAAGTTGTACAGGAAATGTGGTGAAAGTTAAACTGACCTAAAAGATAATTCTTCTCTGGAGTTGGTGTCCACCAAGGTCGTGACTGCCAATCTTCATTGAAAGTCACAGATTTGGATCCAATCTCATTAGAGAGCTCAACAAAGTGAATCCCGCATTTCATGCTCTTGAGAACACTCTACAAGAAGATGCATATATGTTATATGATCAAATCTAAAAAAAAAACAAAGGCATCCATTACTAGAATGGCAGAATAAAAGCAACCTCTTCGTCTTCAATGTCATCCGCATTCTGCTTTAGCTGTAGAATGGATGATTCTACCCTTGCCACTAAATACTGACTAGAGTGCTGCAATCGTTCTTTAAATTGAACAAATTCAATTACCTGAAACAAGAAAACATAAACATCTTGCTTTATGTATTCCCCAGGGCCTAAATTTCGTCCAAACACTGTATTTAATGGCCTGGCTATGGCTACACACACCCAGATCGACACACACAAAACACAATAAGACATGCACTGCATATAAATATATATATCATATTCCTCTACTAAGGCTAGTGACTTCAAACACAAAGTCTTTAATAAACCCTCAACGCTTGCAGATGAGCAGGTACCACATGCATGCAGAAATGTGTCCAATATAAGTTACCAAAACTGATAACCACAACTCACACAAACATATCAGATGGATAAAGTGACCTAAAAGAAACATGAATGCACATAATGAGCACGTACACATGTGTCACTTGTTTTTTGCTGCAAAAATTCAGATATCATCACATCAAAGGATAAATATCAGCATAATGACAATGAGTTACATACTTTTGAGTAATTTCTGTGGCGGTATGCAAGAAATGTAAGATCTGCAGATTCTCTGAAGTGCTCATCCATAAACTTGAGATAATCTTTCAGCAGGTTATTTAAATCCACCCAGAGGGGAGATTCCATTAGCTGGGGAAAAATGTGATGTAAAACAGTTTCCATCAAGATGTTCTTCACATCAAGAGCTTTATACCTAAGCAGGAGACACAATATTAATCCAATATCTAAAGAAAGGAGTAGGTGCTAATAATGAGCAACATTCAAACAAAGTTAGCATATTTACCGATCATATGCTAATGAAATGATACCCAAGTGTGAATATAAGTGCACCAATAAGATCTTGTACTGCCACGCATGTCTGCCAGATATGACCACATACACAAATGTCATCCCACAGTAAAAGCTTTCTTACATAACAAACAGCTTTCAGACAGAAAGCTGATAGCTTTGTCCAAAAAAGCATCTAAATATAGTTCGTACCCTGCACGTAATAAACACACAATGCAGTGACAGCATCACAGTGGTTCATGACCAAAATCTAATTTGCAGTACCAATTAGTGAAAATAAAGTTCAAAGAAGATTCTGCTACTACATTAAATGTCCTGGTTGACATTAATTCAAAATTAAATTACCGATTCATGGAATGATGACAAAGGTAATTAAGCAGTAAAAAGCAATTCCTGACCTTCTTATATTCAATCCAAACTCCAACACCATTATTGCTTCCATGAAGTAGCCAAAGTTTCTTGTACGCCAAAATAACTAGAGACAAAAAGCAATTAATAGATATGAAATTAACTACAAAGACAAAAACATAAAAGCATTACTACCGAGAATATAGTTCACTTTAATGGGACCATCACATATATTAGGCAACGTCACTTGGTTCTCGCTGCATATCATGATGTTAACAACAAGAGTAGTTAGAAACAATCTATTTGACTATAACATTTGATTTCCTCTTGCCCCCCCAATTTACAGAGTAAGGAAGCCCCTAGTTCCAAAAGCTACATGTTTTATCATTGGAAGAAGTTATCATGGATCTAAGTTACCATGGATGAAATTAATTAACACCCAACCAGACAGAGCTACTACGTCCCACCCAGCTACATAGTGTTCATATTATCTAACAAACATGTTTCCAGCAGAGATGATCACAACCATCTAAATTGAATTTCATCACTCCCAAACCAAAAGAACAGAAGAAATGAGGAAAAACAGTAAATATATATATTCTTGGTAAAACCTCAAAAATAAATCCTTTCATTTGACATAATACCTGAACCAACACATTGCATGACATTGATAGCACTCCTCACCGTGCATGCTCTCTTGCGGATCCAAGTCCTTAGATAGTGCTAGGTTTTTACAATACATCTCAGTCATTTGAAGAGCAGTGTGCTCAGTTCTGGATGAGAGTAGAAAAATTTATATGATACAAGTTTAATGGACAAATCATGTAAAACATGTAAGAAGAAATAACAAGCCCTATAAAGAATTTTTACAAAAAAGAAAGAGGAAATAATCAGATATAAAGAGCACCTCCAGCCAAAAGAAGAGTCAGAATGAAATGATGCACATAAAACGCACATATTAACATTAATATATAACAAAATCATAGATGAACATAATCTTGTTAAAACTGTTGCTAGCTAGGTAATATCACCACAAGACCAGATGTGAAAGAGAATAAACAACATAAAGAAGAAAAGCTTGTAAAACGGATATGATTGTGTGCATGCATGTGTAAAGAGAAACACACCACTGACAGCCAGCTTGTACATGTTTCCAATCATTTCTTGAATTTTCCAAAGTGTTATAGACTGCCCAACACTTAATTGGCACTATTGAAGGAGCTTGCGCTTTTAGTTAACTTCTCCAAAAGTTCAGTCTTCTTATCAAGAGGTAAACCAGAAGAAACTTCTCAACATCAGAAGTGAAGCAGGCCAAGTGACCAACCTGTGTTAAAAAATGTAAAAGCACCATATGCTATAATCAACAAATGCTACATCATTATGCATAAAGTTTATCCAAATGCAGAATGATACAATAACATGGAAACTCGATAGCATCTGTACACGCAGCATATCAGTTAACTATTTGTCAGCATTGAACAGCAAATTTAAAAATAATCCATCCAATGATGCAATGAAAAATTTGATGGAGAAGAGATGAAGTCCTTAAAATACCTTAAAAAATATTGTAATAGAGTCTCCATCAACTCTTTATCATTGTTTTTTCCATATAAGAGCTTCCGCCTTTCAATTTCAAGATTTGCCAAGGATGGACCCCTTAATAAATTATTAGTGGTTCTGCTATTAACTTTTGTACAAAAGTTGAAGCTCTAATATACGAGAGTCAAACTGCAAACCAGATTGGCAAAAATTAGATTCTGAACCAAGAAACAAAAATCTGATACATGAAATACATGCAATATGCACACCATGAAAAGAAAAGAAAGCCAAAAAAAAAAAAAAAAAGAACTATTAAATAAGCACCATTTCATCAGTCAAGTGCGAAAACTTGCAGTCTACTAATTTTGGTGGATGAATAGGATCACTATTAGCTCCATTGCACCAACTACTATCATCCTCTAGCAAACAGCCTAGATAGTGTAGGAAACATTCCCAATCATCAGGGCTGTCAAATAAAAGAAAAAAAAAATTAACAGATAAAAATAGTTACAGCAAAGTGACACTGAAGCTTAACAAATGACACTGAAGCTTAACAAATGACACTGAAGCAAAACTGATTTAAGCATGCATTGTGAAAAGCATCATACATAGTGAGGCACATAAGAATTTGCACAGGGCATATCAGAAGAGACAGAAAAAGGGAAGAGGAAGATCAGATAGCACATCACATCTGCTAAATCAGCAACTCAATTGATAATGATACTTTAGAATGGTGTTAACTGATGTTTACAACTCCAAAGATATTGAAAAATGTACGAAACCCACCACAACTTAAGATTAAGCAGTGAACCTATAGTCATAATGAATTACACTTATTTTCTTCCTGTCAAGCGAAACTCTAGAAGGCAACAAGTTGACAAAGACAATAAATGCTTTGGAAAAGGGTAATCCGTAGTTACTTTTATCAAAATGAAATGGCTTGCAGTCCAATTTCATGGCAAGCAAAATTCTTCTATTTTATTGTAAGGCCCCCAACAATTAATCAAAGGAAACATTAATAAGTGATGCCATTTTTCCATTTATAATGGACACATCAAAAAACATCACTGCCACTTTATTAAGACACAAAGCATGAAATTACAAAGAGTATCATCGCAAAATTTTGACACTATTTTCATAGTGTTGTGTATACCTGTACAAGCATACCTTAGTTCTAAAATTTTCTGATATATTTTAGCAGCAGCAGTGTAGTCACCTTGCCTAGCAAGAAGCCTCCCCTGTCAACTTAAAGTCAAAGAGTACAAGTTGATAAGTCATGAAAGCCCAGAAACACAAGATAACATCTAGCACTATGAACAATGAGAAAGTTCCACTAAAATAAGGGATCATGTCGAGACATTTTCAAGCGATGAGAATCCATTGTGGAAGAAGTTGTTGAAAAGAAAACACCCTAAACAACAATTAAGAGCAATCATAAGAAGAATCATCAACCTCTTGTTCTTTGACACTTCCATTACTCAAGATATAATCAAGGTTCTCACAAAAACAATGAAGTAAACAAAAGGACAAAAAATGTCCACATTAAATCAAACATGTGTATAAACACACACATGTGTAATGCATATACGCATGAATATACATTGCCATGGAAGGTAATGTCGATTTTTTAAAATACAAACTGAGAAACATGAAGGCTTCAGAAAGTACCTGCATGCGTAGCTTATCAACCTCAATCATTAAAAGCGATCCTAATTCTCCAGAGAGCATTTCCAAAGCATTACCATACTTGGCTTGTTGTTCCAATATAGAAATGTAGACTGTAAGAGCTGGAACAAATTGCAAGCAATAACAACAAAAATCAATACTAAACTACATTATTAAGATCATTACATACTATTGAGAAAATAAAATAAGGAAAACATGGAAAAAAAAAAAAATGCACCTTCGGGGTCATGTAAGCTATGTGAAGCAATGTGTTTCTTAAGCAAACCTTCAGCTAAGAGTAACAGCTTCTCACCGCCATTGTCACATAACACCTATTGAGAACAATCATAAGCAAATACGAATTTGGAAAACACATTTCAAATGAGAAAAAAAGAGGTAACTTCAATGTGCTAGGGACTTTATTGAAATTAGTTGCACAATTTTCAGATAAAACAATATAAAGTTTTGCAGCTTTTAATAGTTAAATTAATTCATATCTAAGGTGTTCAAAATAAGGTGGAAATAGAATCAGATTACTCAAGCATCACAAGTAATCCAGGACAATATACATGTTTTCAAGCTCCTGAAAAAAAAAAGGTCGAAAAAACGTCTACTTCATTGCCAAAAATCCCTCTTGAACATCAAATTCCATTACGTATGCCGCATCATTTATCCTACCCTCAGTTACACCTTCATCATTTACAGTAATACCTAAGGGCATTGCTTACCATATTTTCTCTTATTCTTGATTAGGGAAGGGAATGAAGGAAAAGAAAAGTGGTCCCCACCAAAAAGGGCATTTGTAACTTCATCTAATAACCAAACTGTCTTCCTCAATTTTCTACAAGCTGGTGCCACTTCCAGAGCACATAACCATAAAATTCTTGTTATGGACCTTAACCCTATAGATAAACAACCAATTGTAACCTTAAGAAGATTTCCTTTAAACTGATCATACAGCCTGAATTCAAGATCCATGCCCTTCAGTATCATGAACTCAATACCTCGCATATAACAGAGAAAGCATTTGTATCTTGAAATGAGGGGCTAAACAAAAGCGGTTCCATGGACCCCTCATTAATGAACCAATAACAAGCAAGTGGCTCATTCAAGTTAAACATACATTTCTATTCCACCTATCTCAGCATCTCACCCCATGATTTTTATATATTACAAACCCCTACCCCAGAAATATGTTGTCCAATCCATGTCTTTATATCCACTTTACAGAAGGGATTGCATGCCTTAACCAGATAGTATTGTTGAGCCACTGAATCATCAACAGGTTAAATCCAGGTTGGGAGGCAGAAGGTTTAAGGATCAACTTAAAATGCATCTGATATATTTGCTTTAAAATAGTATTACTTTAAATTAATTACTTCAAATCACACTATCCAAAGAAATTAACTATACTCCTGAAAAGTGAGGTAATGTGTAATAAAGTATCAACTCTGCTGCAATTTCCCTGGGCCAGTAAAACTAAGAGCCTAAAGTAGGGTAAAATTCATTGGTTAAGTGAATTAGGAGCACCAACACTAAATTTGTTGGTAAATGGCATGATCCTTTCATGTTTTTCCTTTCCTTAAGTTGGGATTGGGGAAGACCACCATTTCTTGTTATATACACGCGCAACTATGAGTCCTTGCAAAAACACTAAATAAAGCACGATTACATGTAAGACAAAATGAGGAATAGAAGATGGAAGAACCTGTAACTGGATGCTACAGACTGCCCAGAGCAAAAACCTTTCTTCACCAACAAGCTTGTACATTTTGATAGCTGTCTGCCAGGAAATAAAATTGAAATAAGTAAACCGTGGCCCCATTGTCCACATTCCATATACATACAAATTAAAAAAAAAAAAATATTGAAAACACCAACCTGCTGCTGCTTCACAAATGAATATTCACGAACATAACAGTTGAAAAGCCCCATCATTAGCTCCAAATTGTTTGGAAATTTCCCACAAGAATGCTCATAACAGGCAGTAGCCAAGTCCACTGATGACACACAATTATTTTTTGAATAAGAAACTTGACATAGACAATGATAGACACATAAAGATGAAGAAAATACTCACAGTGATTAAGTCGCTGGAAAACAATCTGAAGAGTACTGAGAGTGAGATCATCCATCAAATTGGCATCATTCTTATACAACACCTCTTTGGCATTTAAACAAACAGATAAAGCTTCATCAAATTTACCCATTCTTTCCAAAACGAGAGCCTTCAGCGCCTAAATAGCCAAACGAAGAGACATCACTACAGAAAACACACACGAAACATAAACAAAGAACAATGTGGTTTGAGACTTACAAGAGCGTAAGGTGAGTTGGGGAATTTAGCTAGCAAAGCAGTGGATTGCTTCAGAGCGATCTTAAACTGACGAGAATCGATGGCGTCCCATATCGGACGAACCCTCCGCTCCGGTATTCCACCGGCCAACCCGAACTTCGAAGCCATTTAGGGTTCCACTCAAACAGTGTCTATGTGTTTGTACTTCGTAAGGCTTTTGTCCTTACAACTTATTTCTGAAGACGTTTTGGTAAACCTAAACCAAGTGTTTGGATACGGGTTTTATAACGATCGTAGACCATGACTTCACTTCCCAACTAAAACACAGACATGATACCAAAATAATCAAGCAAAATTGTGATTAGTCTGTAATCACATTTAATTAAAAATTTAAGCGTTATATTATCATTAAAAATTGGGTTTAATTTACAATTAAAGTAATTATGAGAAAATGCAAAGATTTTTGTCATCTCAATCTGAAAAAGAAAATTTTGATCCAGAAACGACTGTTCTCCACAAGTTGGAAATAAAACGATTTGTCTTATCAGTTGTGTGATATAAATGACTTGTCGTATATTCATCTAATGAACTATGCATTGAAGCCAAGCCAAGCCAAACTCAACTTTGTTTTCACCACACTTCAATGTTCTCTCTTGAGAGAGCAAATCAGGTACGCCATCGCTTACAAGAAAAAAAAAATCGTATTAAGTTTATCCACCGTCAACCTTGAACAAGTATACATAATCAACGGACGAGATACCATCATCAAAGATAATCTCACGAACCTAGATGTTTCCTATCCTGCTTCAAAGTTCAAACTTGAATCAAACAAATTCACTATTCTACATCTTAAAAAAAAATTAAAAAAAAATAAAGTAAAAAGAGAAGGGAAAAACTCATGGTTTCTTCGAAGTCACGGCCACGTGCATATCTCGCTTCATCCTATTCCTCCACATAAGCCACCGGCGCACGGTAGTCTTCACCACCACACATGAATGATGAACTTTCACCTATAGCAATACCTAGTCTTGTAAATCCAAACCCTAATGTCTAATAGATTGCTTTAATTTTGTTATCTGGAAGTTGAGCTTGAGATTATTTGATTGAAATTTGAATAAGATGATGGGCTCTGACAACCAGGGCTTCGAGGAAGCCCATCCTTTCGCCTCACGAGAAGAAATGGAAAATCTTGTCCTTGACGACGACTCCACCGTCACCGCCAACAAATCCTACTCAAATTACCGTAGCGCCACGTCATTATCTCCGCCGATCCTCGTTACTCCGGCCGATTCCGATCCCTTACTCTCGCCTTCACTGTACCCTAACGCACCGGACCATAACAACAACCACAATCATCACTCTTCTTACATCGAGCCTCCGTCTTACGCTGATGTCATCTTTAGTCCTTTTGATCAAAACAGCGGCAACGATAACAACACTGGCAACGAGATCAACGGCATCGAAAGCACCAATCAATTCCCTGATTCTCCTATCTCACCTTCTAGTAGCTCCGATTACCTCAGAATCACCGTATCAAATCCGCAGAAGGAACAGGAGACGTCCAATTCGCTGGTGCCTGGTGGTAACACTTACGTTACCTATTTAATTACCACACGAACTAACATACCTGAATTCAACGGATCTGAGTTCAGTGTTCGGAGACGGTTTCGCGATATCGTTACTTTATCTGATCGGTTAGCAGAGTCTTATAGAGGGTTTTTTATCCCTCCCAGGCCTGATAAAAGTGTTGTGGAGTCTCAGGTGATGCAAAAACAGGAATTTGTCGAGCAAAGGCGAGTGGCATTGGAGAAGTATTTGAGGAGACTCGCGGCACATCCGATTATAAGAAAGAGCGATGAATTTAAACTGTTTTTGCAGGTGCAGGGGAAATTGCCGTTGCCTACGAGTACTGATGTGGCATCAAGGATGCTGGATGGTGCGGTGAAGCTGCCGAAGCAATTGTTTGGAGAAAGCACGGCTGTTGTGGCACCTCATGAGGTGGTCCAGCCTGCGAAAGGTGGAAGGGATTTATTGAGGTTGTTTAAGGAGTTGAAGCAGTCTGTTGCTAATGATTGGGGTGGGTCGAAGCCTCCTGTAGCTGAGGAAGATAAAGAATTTCTGGAGAATAAAGAAAGGATGAATGATCTTGAGCAACAACTCAGCAATGCTTCTCAGCAAGTAATGACATGTCTTAGCTCTTTATTGTTCATATCAATGTGCATGACTGTATATGTTGCGTGTATGAGTTGAGGACTTACATATATGAATGTGGATTTGGGGCTTGGACTGATCATTAAACGTTGGTATTATCGTATTACATGATTTATAATGCCACTGTTCTTTATTATGTATGTACGTGAATGTGCATGGAGCTTGGTTTCTATCTGCATGGGAATGCCTTTATGTCAAATTTTATGTGATCTATATGTATACTTTTTATTATTAATGAATGTGAATGCCAGTGCTTAGGTTAGAGTGATTATTGAGTTGTTGCTTTCTTGTTGTGAATGTGTTTAGGCTGAAACACTGGTAAAGGCTCAGCAAGATATGGGAGAAACAATGGGAGAACTTGGATTGGCCTTCATTAAACTAACAAAATTTGAAAACGAGGAGGCAATGTACAACTCTCAAAGAGCACGGGCTGCTGACATGAAAAATGTTGCAACTGCTGCTGTTAAGGCGAGTAGGTTCTATCGGGAATTGAATGCACAGACTGTCAAGCATTTGGTAAATGGCTATACCTTAACAATGGGTCATTATCCGAGCTTTTTAAATTTGATAGAATTTTTATAAAGCTTCTTTGTGAAATTGATTTCTCATGAGATGAAAAATTATGCTTGTCAATTGCTGGAGTAGCTACTATTTATTTTCATTGGTGGCAGTTATATTACCATCTAAGCTATTTACAATTGTTATAAATACTACTAAATAGTGTACTCTTTTTGTTTAATGACATTTTATTCCGTAGGAACTTCTGCCATTGTTTAAGTTGTCCTTTATTTTGTGTATATTGCAGGATACCCTCCATGAGTATCTGGGGCTTATGTTAGCTGTCCGCTGTGCGTTCTCAGACCGCTCAAGTGCTCTGTTGACAGTGCAGACTCTCTTATCAGAATTGTCCGCGTTGCAGTTGAGGGCTGAGAAGCTTGAGGCTGCCTCATCAAAAATATTTGGTGGTGACAAGTCACGTATTCGCAAGATAGAGGAGCTCAAAGAAACTATAAGAGTTACTGAGGATGCCAAAAGTGTTGCAATTAATGAATATGAGCGAATCAGGGTATTAAACCTTTCTAAAACCCTTTTTCTGTATTATTTATAGGAACTGAGGTAATCCTTTTCTTTTCCTGCAATGTATTGAGATTGTATTATGCTCTTGGGTCCAATACTTTCTACCTTCTTTTTGTGTATTGTTGTACCTCGCTAAGCATTGGGTTGAGTGCTAGATATTGAGCCTTTATCTCGTGAACTTGAACGAAGTTTTGTTTCCTAACCAATTTGGGGTCAGGTATGGAAAGCTTTTGTCTCCCTTTCAGCTTTCTATGGGTACATAGCTCTTTCAAAATCAGCTAAGGATGCATCTCTCGTTGCTTTACTAGAGTTCTCTTATAGGAAATCCAAGTCCCCTTTGGCTTTTAATGGGCACGTTGGTCTTCCTAAATAAGCTTATTTTGCCTCGTCCATTGCTTTACTTCTGTTTGGATTTCCTGTCGCATTGAAGTGCCTTCAAGTTGATCCCAAACTATTCTAATTGGCTTTGCAATTGGATTACACTGTAGAAAATCCAATATCCCACCCTTCTCTTTTTCATAATGTTTTGAATCTTCCTGAACTTATTTGGCCTCACAAATATGAGTGTTCCCATCCGGCCATGATCTTTTATATGGACAATAAATGTGATGACAACCTTGCATTCTTTGCTAGAAAACAGGGGCTTTTCATTTCATCATGTAGAAGTTTCTTCTTAATATGATGGGTATGTTATGCTGTCATAGCAATTTTGTAATATGTTATCCTTGAGGTACTTACTCCAGTTTTGTTATGTTGCTTCAGCTCTTCCTTGTTCCCCTTCATTAGAATGATTGATCCAAGATAATCATGGTGGCTATATTTAGGAAACACTTATGCATTATTTTCCTTGATTTTCATGTTGATATTCATACTTTGATGATATAACTTCCATATGATAGCATTGCTAATCTGGAATTTTAATTTGATGGAGCTATATTCAGCACTATTAATTGTTTTGAGCAAAATTTTGGAAGCCACATTTGTACTTCAATCACACATCTGGTGATATACTAAAATCTAATCTTTGGTTACACCCTGGGATTAATTGTTCACTTGGGTACAGGGTTGCTGATACTGCCTGACCATTTTTTTTTTAAATATGATTGAATGAAATAGTATCTTATCATTGTTTGAAATGGGAGTTCACTTGCAGTTGTTTGACTTTGATATCTTCTTATTATAAATGTTGGATGTTGACTAGTTTGATGTTGACTAGTTTGGCATCATGGTGGAAAAAGTTGTTTTTTTTTTCTTTTTTTAAAAAAATCTAAAATCGGGTGTCCAGCAAATAATTCGACACTGCCAGAGGTAAATGATGGAGGTGAAAATGTTGCATAGATGATAGCCTTATCTATTTCTTTTTAATTGTTCAGAAGCTTCCTTTCTAATTTTGGTGTACAGTTCATTGACTGAATGTAACATGAATTTCCTTGTTTAATTGCTTTTGTATTTTAATTAACTATGTCATCATAAGATTTGAGAATGAGCAATGATGGGATCTGCATTGGTTCTTTACACCATTTCCTGACAGTGGTCTTTTTAACAATACAATTATAGGAGAATAACAGGACTGAACTTGAAAGGCTTGACAGAGAAAGGCAGGCCGACTTCTTGAACATGCTGAAGGGGTTTGTAGTTAATCAGGTATGTTCAGACTTCTTGTATGTGGTCCATATGGTATGAAAATGCTATTACTTCTTTTGAGAGCTATGTTGATTAGACTTCAGCGAGTGACATAGGGATCATCTGCTTGTTGTTAAGTTGGGTTATATCTCAAGTAATGGACAGAGTTTAGTTTGTTCACACTCTAGTTTTTGTCCCTAGGTGTTAGTTTGAACCCTTTTGTTACATGCCTTACAAAGATTAGATTTAAAAACAATTTCTATAGCTTTATTAAGCTCTCTTGGTGTTTTTCAATTTTTAAATCATGGGTAATGAGGATGTGAATAAAGTGGACTATATGGTAGAGATGGGGAGTATTATGTTTTAAAATATTTGTTTGAAGCTGTGTCTTGGGTGGGTGATGATCTGGGCTGACAGTTTGAACCAGTTTGAACCATTCTTTTAGGTTGACTATATTTCTGCAGCCCATGATTCCATGAACTTGCCTGTATAATTGCTGGAACAGTGTTAACAAATCTAATAACATTAGTAGTGTCAGCTATGCTGGAAATGGCTTTGTCTTATATACAGTTGAGTCACTTCAGATATCTATGTCTATGAAACAACTTAATAATGTGAGTCTTTGCCTGACCAGGTGGGATACGCGGAGAAAATTGCTAATGTATGGGCAAAGGTGGCGGAGGAGACAAGTGGATACGCAAACGATAGCACTTAAACATGTGGCTGTACATTCAAATCTTGAGCTTTTTCTTCATTTTTACCAGACAGTTTGTAGTTGTCCACTACTAGGAGATAGAATTACATTGATAACAATGAAGAAAAATGGAGCAGTATGTAATTTTGAAATTTCACTTTGAAGTTGTATCTCTTAGGAAAATGGTTTAACGCCCGCCCTTGAAAGTTTGCATTTGATAATGTAAATTGGTTGTTACTTGTTTGGTATTTGAGAAAAGACTTTTCAAGTTCTGAGTTGCTGATCTTGTGAAATCATATAATGACATCGCAACTAGTATTTTGACTTGGACAAGATTGAATTTGTGTGTTTCTCCATTCAAATTGTCATAATGTATACGTTTGATTTTATGGCGTGGGCAGCATGTGATTGACAAATGAAGGTAAATGTTTCACGAGGCATCATTTATTGGATTCTGTTCTAGATCATTGGTTTAGATTACGAGGCATTTGTTTTTGCTTTAAGGTTGGGCCCTTTGGATTGAATGCTATAGAAATCCAAGATCTTCTTCCTTCCTTGTCTTTATCCAAGTTCTAAACCACACAATATTTTGTAGTTTGTTCACAGTTTGGATAGGACATATATATTAAATAAATGAAATCATAAATAACCGTTTGTTTTGGTTGTGAAGACCGAGTAAAGAGGGAATAAATTAGAAATAAACAACAAAAGCGATTCTGCTCCAGTCAGCTTTTATTTCGTTTGGTTGCTTTTTCCCGCGTTCATTTACTTTTGTTTTTTATAAAGTTGTTTTCTTTAGTCTAACCAAACCGCGTTTTCCAAGAACTTTTTTGTCATTTCACCCCCTTCAACTCTTGACTGTCTCTTCTGCTTCTACTCTCCTTCCTTCTTTCCTTCTTCCTTTCACTTTATCCATTTTCATTTCACGATCCAAACCCTAACCAACTTACAATCTTATCTTACTGCTGTTATCTTTCGATTTCATATGGCTGCTGAGAACGGTGAAGAAAAGCTACTAGCTGTTGCACGTCACATCGCCAGAACCCTCGGTCACAATGACGACACCATGGCCGACGATATTTTACAAATCTTCTCCAACTTCGACGGTCGTTTTTCTCGTGAGAAATTGGCTGACGACGATCCTCGTCCTTCTGCTCCTCTTGAACTCTCACTCAAATCCCTCGACCGTCAGATCTCTCAATATCTTGCTTCTGACCGTCCGATCTGGGCTGACTCTGCCGATTCCTCCGCTTTCCTTGACTCTATCGATGAGTTAATCGCCACCTTAAGACACTGGAGTCCTATGGCTGCTGATAAATCCATCAACTCTTGTTTAGTACGCGCTGACGACTTGTTGCAACAGGCCATGTTTCGTCTAGAGGACGAGTTCAGATCTTTGATGGAACGAGGTGGAGAGTCGTTTGAACTCTGTGAGTCTACTGGTAACTTCTCGTTTGATTCAGAAGACGAAGATGAAGAAACTCTTGATGACCAGCAGATCCCTGTGGCACAACCACTTAGCGATTACGATATCATCATCGACGCTCTCCCCTCTGTTACAATTAATGATTTGAATGAGATTGCGAAGCGTATGGTCAGTGCAGGGTTCGGTAAAGAGTGCTCCCACGTGTACAGTAGTTGCCGGAGGGAGTTTCTAGAAGAAAGCTTGAGTAGGTTAGGCTTACAAAAGTTCAGCAACGAAGAGGTGCAAAAAATGCCTTGGCAAGATGTTGAAGAGCAAATTGAGCGTTGGGTCAAAGCTGTTAATGTTGCTTTGAGGATTCTCTTTCCCAGTGAAAGACGGTTGTGTGATCGAGTGTTTTTTGGGTTCTCTTCCGCGGCTGACTTGTCATTTATGGAAGTTTGTCGCGGGTCGTGCATTCAGTTATTGAATTTTGCTGATGCTATCGCTATCGGGAGCCGATCACCGGAAAGATTATTTAGGGTTCTTGATGTGTTTGAGACTTTGAAAGAATTAATGCCTAATTTTGAGACTGTTTTCTCTGATCAGTATTGTTTGGTACTTAGAGATGAAGCTTTGACTATATGGAAAAGATTAGGAGAAGCCATAAGAGGGATTTTTATGGAATTAGAAAATTTGATTCGCAGGGACCCTGCTAAAGCTGCCGTTCCTGGAGGCGGGCTTCATCCCATTACTCGTTATGTCATGAATTATGTTCGAGCTGCTTGTCGATCCAGGCAGACACTGGAGCAAATTTTTGAGAAAGATTCTTCTTCTTCATTGTCGGTCCAAATGGCTTGGATTATGGAGTTATTGGAGAGTAATTTGGAAGTCAAGTCTAAAATTTATGGAGACCCTGCATTGTGCTCTATATTTATGATGAATAATGGAAGGTATATTGTTCAAAAAGTGAAAGATAGTGAATTGGGATCGCTTCTGGGTGATGATTGGATTAGAAAACACAATGCAAAAGTTCGCCAATATCATTCCAATTATCAGAGAAGTTCGTGGAATAAGGTTTTGGCAGTTTTGAAGTTGGACAATAGCAATTCCGCTCCCAACGGTGCTGCTCCTCCTGCTGCAAGGTCTATGAAAGATAAGCTCAAGTCGTTTAATTCATTATTTGATGACATATGTAAAACTCAGTCTACCTGGTTCATTTACGATGAGCAGCTTAGAGAAGAATTAAGAATCTCTCTGGCAAAAATTTTGTTGCCGACATATGGGAACTTTATTGCAAAGCTTCAAAATGTTCCCGATGTGAAGCACCCTGAAAAGCTTATAAAGTATGGTATGGAGGATGTTGAGGCTTGGATTAACCAATTGTTTCAGGGAACTGGTGCCTTGTCTGGTGGCAGAAAGTGAAAGGTAAGAACTTCTGTATATGTAGTTTAGTGTAAGTTTCTATTTTTCTTTTTTATTGCCTGATGGACTGTGATTATGTGCTCTGAGTTTGTATGTGTTCAATGCAATTTCTGCATCCTCTATGTGTACGAGAGGAAAAAAAAAGGGAGAAAAAAGAAAGAGAGAGAGTAATTTAGATGCAAAACAATTGCCTTACTTCATTCTAATACTATTTTGTATTGGGTGGCAAATGTGGCTCTTTAGTTTAAAGAGCATCTTTCATATAAATAAAGAGCATTTTCATTAATTTTTAAATATAAAGAACAAAATTTGTATTCAAATCTAATGAGCTTTTTAAATTTAATGAAGATGTTTTTTATTTAGAAAAAGGACTTATAGAAGAGAGAATTAATAAATAAAATACATAAAAACTTGTAGTTTATTAATTAAAATTTGAATAGAGAGTGAAATTTGACTCTCTAGATGTAGAAAGTCAAACTCACTCTTTAATTTATATTTAAAAGATAAAAGAGTTTGTTAAACTCTTATTTTTATGAATAGACTCTTTATAATAAAACGTCTGAATCATATAAAGAGTCATTTGGAAATGCTCTATATATATATATATATATATACTCAATCAATAGTTGGGCTGGAACTGGAATCATTCTTAAACCAGTGATATCTTCTTTTGTTGGAGCCTTTTGTTTGAATCACAGAATTGTAGATGTCCTGCCATCATTGGGTTATCAGTTTCTCAAGTAGAGTGGAGTTGTTGCCCCTATATATGTTCATCTTTGCTTTGTTTGGCACTAAAAATGTATCGTGGCAGATGGAACCCACATTCTACTTCTGCATTAGTCAGCCATCTCCTTATTACTTTATAATAAAACATAGAACTAAGAATACATAATTCCTTGTCATACTAAGATAGCCTGGAATATCTGGAGATCTTTAATTATTCTGATAGAATGCTTTTAGATGCTATGATCATTGGGATAACTGGGAAACAATCTTGCTTTCCAGGTGTTTCGCAGTTCTCTGGTAGACTGCTTCACATGGATGGAGGCTATCCCAAAATACAAACTGAGAATCTGCAACACAAGTTGGAGTAATTTGATTGTATAAGATTGAGCTTTCCGGGAGGCCAGTCCCACAGCACCCTCTGTCTGTTACTGTAAAACCTGTTGCACAGACATATATCAATGTAAATTGTGTTATTTTAACTACAATGTTTTTATTAATATAATTTTTTGCTAGGATACGATACAGTGTATTAGACATATATAAAGTTGTTTATATTCACTGGTGCAACATGTGTAAACTACTGGGATTAACTTTTTAATATTTGGGGTTTACCTTGGTTGAAAAATCAGGAAAGGGGCAGGTGTTTCGTAGCAGGTGATTGAACTTCTCCATACACACATTTAAATACGGTCACCCTACCCTATAACACACACAAACACACATGAAAGTTCCTTAAGTCATTTGTTTTTGTTTTTTTTCTTGAGTGCAAATGCTGTTAAAATTCTTATAGGAACATAATGATGCATTTTTATGATAATAGTTACAAGGACTTGTAGAATTAGGGAAAAATCTTTGGCAGTTTAGCTTACCTATTTTTGCGGATTGTTGACCATGTCTATCAAGGGCTCATAGAAATCTACAAGGCAAGTCTAGTTCCTGGAAGTGATCCTGTAATTGAGAGGTTCTGAAGCTTTTGATTATAAACTTGAGCATCTGTGTTCTGATTACCCAAACACTCGTGCTGTTTGGATTTTAAAGCCGCTGTTATTTGAATTGGAAGACAACCTATGGGGAAGACCAGCAACGATCCTCGGCTGACATCCTAGATTGTACAGTTCCTCTACAGAGAGAAAGAAAGATAATGTAAGCATTAGGTTGTAGATAAAAGAGACACACAGAGCTATGCAGAATTACCCAACAAGATTTGGAAAGCTTTTGGAGGAAATCTTGGTATTACTAATGTTGAACTGGCCCCTCCTTGTGGGTAGAGCATAATAGTTCAGAGTGAAGTCATTAGCTCCCGCACTGATGACAACCATTGCCTAACCAATTTACTTTTTAGCGGCTTCCACCCAGCCATTAAGCTTAGTCATATATTCCTTGAAGTCGTCTAGTTGTTTTGACATGTTGAGGACTCTAGGTATGGCTGTGGTTTGATTATCAAATCCTGAGCCGGCAGACGAGAAACTACTCCAGTAAGAAGATATTGTACGCGAGATTGGCTGTAGATAAGGAGGGATTGTGTCTTTTATGCCAAATAAATTGGATAGAAAGTAGGAATGAGTTATCCATTGGAAAACTTCCTGTAGGAATGTGACCTGGGAAATCTCGACATATGGTGGAAAGTTGCTTTGAAATATTGAATGGACAAAGTGTTGAATCACCAAACAAGAATGGGTGATATTTTGGCAAGGTTGAAGCATTACCTATGGTGGTATTGATAATGATAATCAAATAATTGGGTATTTAGAAGGTATCTCACACTTAATAAATAATCATATATTAAAAATTTAATTGACTGAGTGAGTTAAACATTTTAGCAATGTTAAACGCAGAAAACATATGTTATTACATTATTTAATATCACTTTATATCTTATTTTATGTGATAAAAGTATTAATATGATAAGACTTGATAAATTGTATTTTGTCTTACTTACCTTTCTAAACTTTTAATGCCGTTGTAGTTAAACTATAGCTGTTACCATATCTTATACGCAATGTCAAATTCACCTACCAATCAATGCACTATTTTTATGGTTAAACACACATGTTGTTTATTGATTTGCCTATTCAGACATTCTCATCCTCTTCCTTTCTTTTACTATATAATTAATTATTCGGGTATATCTCATATACATGTATAAGTAAACTTCTTTTAATTGGATGGATGTAGAGAAGGTCTTGCAGATGATAGGGATTTTGTTATAGTTGGATGTGGTTCATGCTTTGCATGGTTTGACGGATTATTATTATTGATTGCTGTAGATCTCTTAAACCCATAAAAATCTTCTCTATCTTGAATGTTGGATGTAGTCTTTATATTGCGTTTTGATGTTATTTTCAAAGTTAATGGAGGTTATTTCATTACATTTAAACAATAAACTCATGGAAATCTGTTAGCAATATGTAAAAATACTGCCAATGAACAATTAACACATGGACCAAACCCCTTATCACAGCCAGTTGTGAGTTGTCTTGTGTCTATACATATTTTCTGTGCTGCTTTTGAAACGAGAAACATTGGATTTAATTGACATGTTTTATTGGATTGTCAATATTAAATACTTGTCGTAACAACTAACTATAACAGCCAAGTTAAGACAAAACGTAAACCCTTCAACTACCTAGATCTTTAACTAAAGTTCTTGTATTCATTTCAATTAAATTTAAATGTAGTAAATAATAAACATAGAAGCATAAACAGGCAATTACCGAGTCAAATTGTGAGCAGGAGCCTAGAAGCCGCCCCACCCCATGTCACCCTGTTCAATGGACATATGTTCTCGCAATACTTGAATAACTATTGAAAGAGAAAACACCTCCTCTTTTCAACTTTGATACAGTTTATTTGAATTTCTTTCATGACTTTTGATGCAGTTTCAATACCAAAATGTTTTCCATTCACAATCTTTTTTTCAAACTCCCATTAATTTAATCTCTCTCTTATATATATAGATATTACTATAAATGAAAACACCATCACTTCCAGCTTCTGGGTGTCCCCTCTCTCTTTCTCTTCTCTTAAACTATTTAATGGCGGCCAGAAATTCTATGTTGGTGATGGTAAAGAAGGTCCTTTGCTCTTCTTGGGTTAATGGTGTTGTTCAACTTATTCAACATGGTGAAAGCTCTTATCCTGGTTTAAGTGATTATCACAACAAATCAACCAATGTCTTCCATCAAAGCTTCTTATGTTCTTCGCAATGGAGTTACCCCTCCTTCCCGAAGCTACTCTACTCCTCCGTTACGTTCTTAATTATTCTTTCGCTCCCATCTAAATTTCGTTTTCTTCAATTAATATTTTACGCTAATTATACTTATACAACGTTAATTATGCAGGTTAAGTGGTTCCCGTATTCATCACGCCACTGACTATGGAGGCGATCCTACCGGAGTAAGTGACAGCACCGATGCACTTGAACAAGCTTTGTTTGACGCTTTAGATCTCCTATTCAGTCAACAATTGATCAAGGGTGTTCCCAACCGGCGGCTCTCAGCTTCATCTCGACGGCGGCACCTACAAGAACCGTCCTTTCGGATACCGGAGGGTGGTGCTAATTTTATGGTACGTTCTATCCCGCCCCATCGATTAATTATTTTGTGCACGTGTGTTAAATTTTATTATGCATGTGAATTTATTGTTTTCATATAAATAAGATACACAGTGGAACACTTCGAGCTTCTGATGATTTTCCGATCAATGGGCATCTGATCGAGTTGAAATCATCTTCAAATTCATTTCATCTGAATTTATCACTCTCAAGATTATGTTAGACCCAATTTCAGAGGTGGTGTGTTTGCTGTTATAAATTCATCAAACCACCATTGATAATTGTTACATTTCACATTTCACTACCAATGGCATTTCAATCCAGACGGTCATGAAACCATCGTCACCAATTCCTTCATCGGTCATACATCAACGTCGGTGGTGACATCCGCGAAAAGGAGTTTTCTGGTATCGGAATCAACATTAACGGCAATGACAATGTCATCACCGATGTTGTATTTTTTCCGCATCCATCGGTGTAATGGTACAAGGGCAGGCCAATACCCTCACGTGGGGTGCATGTTAAACAAAGCTACTGGATTAGGAGGAACGGGAATTTACGTCCGGGACACGGGTTTTACCCAAACCCGGATCATAAACTGTTACCTTGATTACACCGGTATCGTTGCCGAGGACGGTACAGCTACAAATCACAGACTCTTTCTTCCTCGGGAATGCCTTCATCACGTTAAAATCAATCAAAGGTAACATCTGTTGTGTGAACATTGTTAACAACATGTTTACGGGTGATTACACAGGGGTCCGAATGATCCAATTGGATGAATCAAATGAACCGTTTGTAACATTGATCAAGTGGTGGTTGATCGGAACAATGTGAGAGGGTGGTGCTTAAATCGACGGTTGCTAGGAGTAGAGTGGGAGCAATGGCACAAGGTGGCCGCTGATTTCTCAGGTGCTGTTATTTCCTAACCTTTAAATAATGTACAATACACATTCATGTAGGTAAAGGAGACGGAACATTCCAACCATTTACTGAGGAATGTTTCTGAAAACGAGTTACTGTGGAAAGCAACGTTCCAGTATCGGCAAAGTGCATGTATCGGTGGATCAAAACATGATCCATTACATATGATTGATTAATTAATTAATTCATGAATTTTGATGTAATTTTTTTTTCTTTTATTTCTATACATTATGGAAAGTAAATTATTGTTTTAATGTTGAATATATATTATATAATATAAGTATAATATCAGTTGAAGGTTACACGTTATAAGGTGATAATAAATAGGAATTGGTAGTCCAATTAACTTGGAATAGAGGTAATTGACTAATAGAATATAATGAATTTCGTAGCATCAAATTAAACTACCTCTAGGCGGCTCTTCGTTTGGGATTCTAGATGTATTACTTAAAAAGTTATGAGTTCGAATCTCCACGAATACTAATAAAGAGTAGTCACTGGAGGCTATTTGAACTTTAATTTCAGGGTCCTGAAGAATAGTTAGATGTGTGTAAACTGGTACGAATACTCTGGGATACTAAAAAAAAAAAAAAAAAAAAAAAATATATAATATATATATATATATATATATATATTAATTATATATATATTATATATATATAAAGATGGGTGTATGTTTGATTTCATGAGTAAACAAAGAAGTTATCAATTTGAATAAATCCTCTCGACATTGAAGATCCAGACTAGAATTAGAATTGTTGTTGACCAAATTTGTCTTACTAGTCTTCATTAAGGAATTTTTCTAGACAAGCTTTAATATTTAATACCACATGTTCAATTTTCGTTCAACTCACATTATATAACAAAAATTAATTAATCAAAATTCCTGATCATTGTCGTATTATATTTCTTGATTAATTGATTGATTTTAAATATATATAAATAATGCGCATTCCGAAAACTTTTTAATTAGTTAAATTTATTATGTTTATCACACATCTTTACCATGACCATATTAAAAATGTGGATATGGTTTGAAATTTCAACGGCAGTCCAAAGTTGTAATAAGGTTAAGGTCCTTGCTGGGAATCCTAGCTCGCTATATTAGTATTAATTTAATTAATGTATTTTTGAAGAAAAATATTACTAGAAA